TGGCACCTTTAAGACCACGTTGTATTCAGGTACAAGCTTTCCCTCCTCTGTGAGGGCAGATCTGCACGTTCCCTTCCCCCCCATAGCTAGCAATCCAAAACAGTCCAGTGGCACCTTTAAGACCAAGTTTTATTCAGGTACAAGCTCTCCCTTCTCTGCGAGGACAGATCTGCACGTCCCCATCCCCCCGGATAGTTAGCAATCCAGTGGAGCCTGAGCGGTGGGTGTTGCCTTCTGATACACTTCCGGTGATGTCAGGGGGTGTGACATATGCAAATAAGTTATGCTAATGAGCTCCTGCACCTCTTTTTCTACGAAATGACCCCTGGGTGGTGGTGGGGTTACAGAGAGCCAGAGCTAACCCTACACCAGTTCTTCCTGGCAACAAAGGCTGCGGTTACACACACTCAATAATCCACTTTTAATTCACTTTCAGTGCACTTTCCAGCTGGATTTTTACTGTGTGAACGGGCAAAACCCAGTTGGAAAGTGCACTGAAAGTGGATTGAAAGTGGATTATCTAGTGTGTGTGACCGTAGCCTAAATGTGTCATTCCAATCTTAGCTGTATTTATTGCCCAGTTACCTATGCACCTTGATTCTAACTAGCTCTTCCTGGCAACTAACTGCTCTTCAAGAGCAGTTTCTGTCAGAGCTCTCCCAGCCCCACCTCCCTCACAGGGTGTCTGTTTTGGAAAGGAGAAGGGAAAGGGAGAGGAGTTTGTAAGCCGCTCTGAGACACACTTGGGTATTAAAGGGTGGGGTATAAATCCAATCTATTCTCTTCTTCAAGCCAATGCTCCAGTTTCTATTTCACATGATGGTCTCATTTCATCCCCAGTAGTGGGTTCTGCAAAAATGTTAGGAAACGGAAACGCGGGCCCTGTGTTCAGAGAAATCCTGGGCCCCCAAGAGCGCCAGCCATGAGAAGAAATCCCCAGACCAGGAAGGGCATCCGTACGTCAGCATGCAAATGGCTCAGACCCGCATCTGTCATGACAAAAAAGAGGGTGGGGTTCAGTCTGTAGCATGCACCCCCCCCCTCCAGAGTGGCCCAGAATGCCTTCCGACATTTGCAAAGAGAGTAGGCAGGATACAGCACTGGGGCGTCAAAATGTGGACAGCTTGGAAGAGAATTATCGGCAGACAAAACAGCACCAAGAGTTATGTCAGCGAACGGGCATTTTAACAACTTCAACCTCTGAAATAGGGGTCTGATTCACATCTGAACTACAGAGTCGAATGGCTTGATCACTATTCACAGGTATTCTGGGAATGGTAGTTCTAAGTAGATCACCAAGCAGATCTCGAACAAAGAATTCTCGGGGCTTTCACCGGTCTGCAATTCCCAGGATGTTTTTAGGAAAAGCCCAGGCTATTTCGGGTGGTCTAAAACTCGAGGAAGTTTGGGATGTAGAAAGGTTCTTGTGCAGCTCTGCAAGCTTAAAGAAGGTAGCAAAATGCTGTGTCCGCTGACCGCCACCGGAGGCCAGCACACACTCCTGAGCTTCAGTCAGATACAACAATGGGGACTAGGATCCTAGTCCCTCCACTGGGGGAACCAATGGGACCGTGGCGGGAAATTCAAACCCACCAATGGGACCCAGGGGTGTGCTCCTGGATGTGTATATAGTTGGCCTGCCGGCCGGTGTGTCTTTATCTTTGTTGTGTACCAGTAAAGCTATACTGATCACTACATCAATCTCCATGCTTACTTCATGCGTCTAACCCACTACACTTCACAAAAAAACCCAACCCTTTCTGGATTCCTCTCACCTTTGTTCATGCCTTCTTTTGTATGTGAAGAGGCTTCACTGTGTGCCATTCACACAGCACTTGAAGCTCAACAAATTACCTACCTATACCTTTTGGCTAACAGCCCCTGACGGACCTCTGCTCCATATGTTTATCCAATTCCCTCTTGAAGTTTGGTGTGGTGGTGAAGTGCGTGGACTCTAATCTGGGAGAACCGGGTTTGATTCCCCACTCCTCCACTTGCACCTGCTGGATGACCTTGGGCAAGCCGTAGTTCTGGTCAGAGCTGTCCTTGAAAAAGAGCAGTTTCTGTCAGAACTCTCTCAGCCCCACCTCCCTCACTGGGTGTCTGTTGTGGGGAGGGGAA